TATTGGTTGAACCTTCATGTATTACTCTGTTGAGTTTGGTTAAGTAACTGGTGACGAAACTTGGGTTCATCACTGGGATCCAGAAAACAAAGGAGTCCATGCAGTGGAAGCACATGGAATCGCCAACGCCTCGCAAATTTCGTGTTCAGAAATCTGCAGGAAAGATTATAGCCACTGTGTTTTGGGACAGCGAGGGACTACTGCTGCTTGAGTTCATGCCAGACAAGTGTACAATCATTGGCGATTCCTATGCTACTGCCATGAAAAATGTCCATGATGCCATCGAGGAAAAACGCAGAGGAAAGTTGTCCAGGGGGGTCCTTCTTCTCCATGACAACGCGCCCGTCCACAAATCATGGAAAGTTCAGGCAGCAGTGAGGGAGTGTGGCTTTGAGGAGCTCACAGAACCCCCCTACAGCCCGGATCTGGCTCCTAGTGACTATTTTCTGTTCAGACATTTGAAAAAAAATTTTGCGGGGAAAAAGATTTTCATGCAATGAAGAGCTGAAAGTTGCCGTTTCTGATTGGTTTGATGGACAAGAAGTTGACTTCTATTCCCAGGGAATAAAATCCTTGGAATCAAAGTGGAATAAGTGTGTTGAGTTAAAAGATGACTACGTTGAAANCCTTGGAATCAAAGTGGAATAAGTGTGTTGAGTTAAAAGATGACTACGTTGAAAAATAAAGTGTTATTTTTCCCCTCGGATGTTTCTTTCTTGTTCAGGTAGATAACTTATTGAGTGACCCTCGTATCCACGAAGATTGACCGTTTCAACACCACTGACGCTCCCAGAGAGTAATACGATACGGTTGAAAGGTCATGTGTTACCAAAGCCTATAGATTTTAAAATCGTCCTTCTTGTGTCTTAGCCAACCCTCACCTTCGGCATTCACCAACTGCCCTGAAGTACAGGGTTATCGTAAAGTCAGGAAACCCAAACATTTATTAGTGATGCCTATACCATAAAACAAAAATTATTCCGACTCTGTTTAAGTTTATTTCTATATGCGCGTGTTCACGTGAAATCACATGATACGCTGAAAGTATCCCCTTTGGACATCTAGACATGACTACACTTTTCTATACATATTTCTAGCCACACGTTCCAACATGTCAATGGGAATCCTGCCCACGATCTCTGTGATTTTGTCTTTCAATTCTTGAACAGACTAATGGGAATGGTTTTTGTAGGATCGCTCCGTCACCAATCCCCATAAGAAATAATCGGGCGAGGTAAAATCTCGGGACCTGGGTGGCCAAGGTCCTTTTGAGATCACCCGTTCCTTGAACACAACTCGAACGTGTCGCATGCTGTTTGTTGCTCTGTTCAAGTCTGTTCCGGATGCCGTCCACAATTTCATCCGATAAACCTGGCCTCCCGCTGCGAAGTACAGGGTGTTCGGGATAAATTTGACAGAATATAATTTTTTTCAGATCTGGTACCCCTACGTTTATGGAAGTGAACGGCATTGTGAAACCTGATCACTACGGTTTAGAGATGTCAAAGTCAACTGTAAATAACAAGTGGAAGCCACCTGAATATTGGAAAAGGGTAACCTGCATCATGATTCGAGCCGGGCATCAAGATTCCGCAATCATGACAGCTGCTCAATGCTGCTTGAACACTGTGAAAGCAATAAGACGTGAAATGAAGAGCTGCAACGGAGATTACGAGGACTTGGCTTGTAGAAAAGGATACAGCAAACGTTCTGATTGCCTTCGTACACCAGAATTCATCCAACAACTGCAGAAGAAAGTGATGGAAGACCCAGGCATGGGAATGCGAGCTTTAGCGCGGGAAATGTGTGTTGCAGCTTCCACCATGAAGCTGGCCTTGAATGAAGACCTCCGCTACCAATCATACAGGAGGCGTATTTTCTTACAGAAAAGGCTCGAGAAAACCGCCTGACGAAAGCAAAGAAAGTCCTCAACAAAGTGAAACATCCTGTTGAACCAGCGACAATCTGGTTCTTCTCTGATGAAAAGAATTTCTGTCAGGATCAGCTGCACAACACTCAGAACAACAGATGGCTTGCCTACGATCCAAATGGCGTTCCTCGTGTCATGAAGACCCAAACTGTGATGGTTTTTGGATGTGTCTCCAGTGAGGGTGATGTCATGCCACCTCACATCTTTGAACAGGGTCTCAGGCTCAATTCGGATGGCTATGTGGAGTTGCTGAACTCCGTGGTCAAGCCTTGGTTGGAGAGGGTTGCTTCAGGAAGACCATATGTCTGGCAGCAAGATTCGGCACCCTGTCACACCGCTGGGAAAACTCAGAAGTGGTTGTCTGAGAATTTTTACGACTTCACCAGCCCCAGCGTTTGGCCCCCTAGCTCTCCTGATTGCAATCCGATGGATTATTATGTGTGGGGCGTGGTTGAAAAAGACACTAACCGCACTGCTTGTAACACAAAGACCCAGCTGATAGGCAAAATAAAGGAGGCATTTGAGGCTTTACCTAGGGACACCGTAAAGGCCGCATGTGCCAGATTCAGGAGCCGGATCGAGGCCGGCGTGGATGCTCAGGGTGGCTTCTTTGAGTGATTCTGTTGTGACTGCTTCAATCTTCATACCGATTTTCCATTTTTTTCCAATAAATTTATTTTTGGCTGAGATATTCACCTTTTCCCCCTTTATAGGTAACTGTCAAATTTATCCCGAACACCCTGTATATCGAAGACGCTTCCTGTGGCACGAAATTGCTTCACCAGCTTACAGATTTAGTTTGCACCACGCGAATGTTGAACTTCTTTCGAAGTGCTTCCTGACACAATTTGTAAGGTTTTTGATTCAGATAAATCTTAACAAGGAAAACATGCTGCTCCAACGTGAAAATGGTACTTGAAATTGAATGACTAAGCGAAATTCTGGCTTTTGTACTGAGAAAACATCCTCCTACATATATAGTACAAATGTTGAACTGTAATTGTGCAATGTAGGAAGGGTCCATCTTGTGTAGTACGGACAAAACGTGTAATTGTTTGGGTTTCCTGACTTTACGATCACCCTGTAACTTTAAGCCTTTAGAATGAACCGAGCAAACTGCTATTAACCGTCGATAAATTCGACGTTGGTAGGCTACCGTGCTGCTTCTGGCACTTCTATAGTTACTCCATTTGCATCCAGGGACGTTTCACAACAGTGTTGTGAGTAACACTAACTTTCCTAAGGCATTACACTTCTCAGTGAAAACCGAGGGGGAGCTCGCGAAGCCTAGTAAACTGCCCGAAAACATGGAAGAAAATTAAACAGAAGATACTAGAACTTACTTCAAATCAGCATTCCAAACCAAATTCTTACATGATTAGCTCCAGTACAAACTAGAAATTTCAGCATCATTGAAAATTTGAACTAAATCAAACTCTTCTGACCCTGACGGCCACGTGGAAAATTTGCTGATACGTCAATTCGAATGTAGAGGAACGACGAACTCATATACGGAGAATTAACGGAGCGGTAATTTTTCCCTAGAGAAATAAACGTATTTAGTGACCGAACGTCTTACCTACTGCAATAACATGGTTTCGCCGGAAATTGAACTTCAGAGAAACACGACTCATGTTCTACAGAAAGAAAAAAATACTTGAAATTTGGTACATGTGAACACTTTCCTCTTTCAAAACGTATTCCGGCAGACTTTCTATCACACTGTTCTACGAGCATGAGTAAAATTCAAACACCCTTCAACAAAGTAATGGCAAGTTGCCGCAGCATCTTTGCATCCAGCGAATTTGCGCCTGATAAAGACGAAAAGAGAGAGCCCGGTCTTCGTCAAAGTTTACTTCGAGAGCTGTGAATATCTATTTGTGATATTTAACCCATTCAAATCTACAAGCGCACTGGTACGCATCGTTCCATCTACTTTCTTTCACCATTTCTGACATAGGCTATTGCCTAGATAGGCATATGCTTGAAAGCCAAGCGCGGCAGGTTGAAGCGGCAAAAGGGCAAGCCTAAGTACAGTACATTATCTCATGCACGTGCGTCGCCTAGGCAATCATATAATTTCAACTTAAAAAAGGAAGCTGAAGGCTTACATTTTTTGAAGAAACATGACTTGAACTGACTTGAATGAACTTCTAGCGTCTTTTTAAGGACCAATCTTAATGTAAGCTCAATTTAGTCATAAAGCAACCCAAACCTTTATTATCATTTAGAAGAAGTTTGGTAACGGAATTTTGACACTCATCCATTCGCCAGTAGAGGAATATTCTAGTTTTTGAAGCTCCCAGTAGCACCGTCCCACTTGATGGTTGTCAGCTAGTGCATGGAACAGCTATAATCGCTGTTGTAGTTTACTCGCACTGGCTACCTTCTCTAAAGGCACAGCAAAATCACAATATTTCGAAATAATTGGTGGGTCACCACCAGAGGGGTGCCACTTCCGTTCAAATATTCTAGGACTTGATCGAAAAAATGTCTAAAAGGGTTCTGATAGTGTTGCAGGCCAAAGGCGAAAACGCAGAAATCTAATTCTATTCTAATACTTTAATTCAAACAGGTCAAAAGTTGTAGTGGTGGTCGTCGTGGCTGTCACCCCCAACGCGCGGGCCTACGATGGTATGCCATTCTGGATTATAGGCCAGACCATCTTATACTGTAATTCGAAGAGCCCGACGCGAGAGGCCAACGAGATTAATCACCTTAGGCCATAGGCTAGGCAAGCCAACCCTCAAAGAACCAGGTCCAACGGGCTATATGAATCTGAGCCATAGGCTGTGGCTCATCTTATCATTTCCATAAGCTTCATATTTAGGCATTGAGTTAGCTTCGTCAATCAAAGGGTGCTACTGTCACGTTTTCACTGATCGACTGCAAGTTCTCCATTTGAATACATTCTTTACTGAAGTATTTTTTTAATATGTACTTTGTTTCGTTAGGTCAGGCGTGGCGGTTCGGGCCATCGCACAGTCGTTTGTCACAGCGAGCACTGCCAGGCTGTACATTTTGCTGTAGGTCAGGGACATTTGTTTCACATTGCTGGCAGAACAGAAAAATGCTCCTGTTGCAACTCACACCTTACCTTGAGGCTCTGAAAGTGTTGCTGCGCATTCTAGGGAAACACGTAAGTCAAAGGTATTTTATTTCACACAGTGAAATACGGCTGTTCGGGAGTTACTTCAGCCGACGTAATTGATTATTTACCACAAAAAAATACCCAGTCGATGATCTTCAAGGTATTTCATATGAACTTATCGGGCAACAGTTCTTGCTATATAGGCGACCAGGCAAGAGTTGAAGTTTCGACTGACGGTGGCATGGAGTGTTACAAGCAGGCATCCATCCTGGGTCGAATACATGGGCTATAACGCCTGGGTGGATACCAACACCCAAGCCGAACTCGACCACGTTCGTGAGATACGAGGTCAAAAGGTTCAAATTGATAGGTATTTTGAACCCCACCTTGGACAAAGAAGTTATCAACTGGTTTTAATGCATATTCCTGAGATATGGAGGTTTATTTTAAGCCTAGGATATGACCTATGAGTACTACCATTCGAGGTCAAATGTCAAATATAGCGAAAAATGTCAAAACTGTCCCCACTTACACGTACGTACTGACGTTTCTAACCGGTTGATTTGATCTAAATTGTACCAAAAGCTTCCCAGTCGGGGTACCTCCATGTCCTGGAACCTAGGGGTAAGGCAGGGGTGAGACCAAATAAGGTGAAAACATAGAACCGTTCGCTCTCTTTGTTAAATTCCATGTTTTTAGGCCACAGTCAAAACGGACACTTTCTTTTGCTGAACTAGTACACAGCGTACAGTATAGATACAGATACTGTTGTTATTTCAAGACAATAGTCAATGTCACTTGTATATGCCACTATCAACAAATCAACCCAGATACAAACCACTCCCTTCGTACATGCTCACTTCCAAGACTTTTTGAATGCCCCGCGTATACTCGTGATTTCCAATGCATATCCAATTCCTTGCTCTTGCTCTGATGAAACAAGACGACTAAAAGGGAGGACGTGGATTTTCTGCTACAAAGAAAGACAGAAAAAAGCCTTCTCGGCATCCCAAACTTCGTCTTCCACATCGGCAGTACATCAATCCACGGGATTCCAAGTACCGGGGTTGACATGCACCTTTGGATCGATACGGCATACGCAGACCGATATATGCGACGTTTTCCTCTTTTCAGAATGCTGCAGCCCACTTGTGCAAAATACACGAATGTGGCTGGCATTCTCGCTTTTCTTTCGAGACCGGCGACGTGGCAGACCGCACCTCTACCGTATAAATATCCTGCATGCAAGTCGAGGTACCATTCCCGCAACTCTCAGCGATCCAGTCCGTTATCTTCGAAGGCAAAATGAAATTCTTCAAAGTGGTGAGTCCCGCTCATATGTTGCGTAACACGTTTTGCCTCCTGGAGGAGGTTCAATCACACTGGATTTTCTCTCTAAGTTGGGAGATTTCCCGACTCACTAATACAAGGGTTCCTCTTTATTCAGTTCTTGGTGTTGGCCGTGGTGTTGGTGGTCATGTTGCGTGACGGCCTCGGCTTCCCGGTCTGTATTTCCGTATTCAATAAATCCACTCCAAGGAACAAAGAGAGTGATGATCTCATGATCCTGTAATCAAGTCCAGGCTCGATTAAATCTATCAATACTTAAATAATAAAAAAAACGCAACGCGCGTTAGGCGAAGTTGATCTAGGAATCTTCTTCGCACTTTCAATCCTTCATACAAGATAACTTAGTTCATTTCTTTTATTGAGGGAGACGAGACCTTGTTCATTTCTCTTCCAGGGGCTGGGCAGAACTACTTTATTCTCGTTCTAGGAAAAGCGCGGAAATTGCCCCGCCTCAACATCCGTCGGAGGGACACCTGGGGCTAGTAATTGCTACTCTTCGTCACCAAGCGCCAATTGCGGTTCCGTTGCGGGCTCCGGCGTGTCCGCGTTGGAGAAACAAGCGATCGTGGACGCTCACAACAGCTATAGGACAAGGGTTGCCTCTGGCTTGGAAGTACTGGGCAATCCTGGACCTCAGCCCAATGCATCCAACATGCGACGGATGGTATCATCAGTTTGCACTTGTCGCTTTGATCGTCATCTCAATATTGCGATAAAATTGCAGTTTTTTCTCAATGGCTTTCGTCACATTCTTGCGTATTAGTGGAAAAATACGCCGTACATGTACAAAATAATCTATACCTACCACATCTTGCCTCGTGCTCCCTCCTGCCATCGCCTCGTAGGATATGTGGAAAATATTATGCAGCGCTTACGAACATTTTTATTGACTTACGAAGCATAGTGACTGTAGTGCAGAGGATTTTGCCAATTGCACGCGTGGTAATGAGAAACACTGCTTCCTTTAGTGTTCAATTTCTCACGATTTCAGAGACGATCCCAGCAAAATATATTCCCGTGCTTTTGCATAACAAATGAACCTCCCGATATTGAAAATGCTGTAATAATCCTGAAACGATTCCCAAATGCAATAAGTACGACACCAATCGATCGTCTGGTGTTGAGACAACATCTAGGACATCACTCGAACCTCCGACTGGACTCGGAAACTTCCGTCTGTTACCAGGTGTGGGACGACAAGCTCGCGGCGACGGCACAAGGTCTGGCCAACACATGCAACTACGCCCACGACACCACGGCCTGTCGTACCTTCGGCAGTATGTTTCTCCTCTCGAAGAGTCCCCGCTTTATTCTTGCTATGCATTCAGATGTTTCTTCATCATCCGTGCCAGCTTCCTTGGGGTGGGTGGGTCAAAACCTCTACTGGAGTTGGTCGTCGCCCGCTGTGGCACAAGCAAATTGGGCAGCTGCCATACAGTCCTGGTACAACGAAGTCACCTCTTTCAATTCCACCTTCATATCCCCTTACCAGTATGTCCTCCTCGATTTAAAAATCCCTGTACATTTATTACAGAACGGTATAGAAACCAACTCCACAATGTTCTTGCATAGACCTATATTGGCACTATTGGAATAGGTGAAAGATACAAGAGAAAATTGCTGCTTTCAATTCTTTACTTGTGGCGTCAGGGAAGTTTTTTCTGCAAAGTCTGTATTCCCAGATAAGTACTGCAATAAGTTCAATAATAACTTGTGCATACCGTATCCTACTTGGTAAGTCCTAGCTTGTGGGCGATATCGATTTCAATTCGTTCGCAAACGATTACTTGCCAATTCACGAAAGTAATGCGAAGCGGAACATTCAGAATTAACCTGAAATAATGATCTAGTCGTGACTTAAGGGAAGGATCATTGTTGGATTGTGTGCATGCTGATTCAACTTCAATGCGATGGGGTTACAACTGCGAATGTCGTCATTCTGCAGGTTCAAGAGTTCGACCGGGCATTACACCCAGGTGGTGTGGGCAGACACGTACTCCGTGGGATGCGGGTACATCGCATACGGTGGGGGGAGTAATCTCTACGTCTGCAACTACGGGCCGGGTGGGAACGTCTTAGGGACAACAATGTACGGCTCCGGGACTCCTTGCTCCTGCTGCATATCCACCTGCTCCAACGGTGCCCTCTGCGACTGATTCCATTCTTGTTTCCTACCGAGCATTCGCAAGGCATGCATGGGAATGGAAATAATACAGTCAAGCAATTGAATATTGGCTCATATTTACGAATTTCGTCGTAAGCCTCGGTGCTTCTGGGACACGTATTGATCTTTTCGTGAATCCTCTGCGCATCGGGTTAGAAGGCGATCCGTTACCGGACAGAATTTACACATTTCTAATGTAAAATTTATATTGTAGCCCATACTGTCTGTACTGCCCCCAACCAATATGAAAAACATTAGTCTTACTATTGTTCTTGCAATGACACGCTTGCAACATTTTGATGAAACTTTCCCGGTTCTCATATCTAAACGTTGTCCTGGTACATGAACGAAGCTAATTATAATTTATATTTTCCCAGAATGGCGAAAAGAGGAATTAGATTGAAAGAGAGGTAATGTAAGGAAGATCTCTAGCATTTTCATTCACAGTAAATATCTGATAATTACGCTAGCACTATAGATATTTTTTTTTTAGGTTTTACAGGTTTACTTTATTAAGGGCACAGCGTCAATGCCCTGCACTCTTTCGATAACTACTCGGACGAGATCAACTAGTACGATCTATGACAACTAGTAAGTAGAGGAAGAACGTCAGTAATCGGAGAGATGTAAATATATGAAACAAAGAGAAGAGAACGGGATGGGCTGAACCCCGCATGAATGCCAAAATCCTGGGAGGATATAAACCGAGCTGGACAACAATGTTAACGCTTACTCCTATCTCGTGACTGAAACCGAAGGGAATTCGGAGGCTTCCAAATGGACGTCAGGGGCGTATAGAGTCGGATTGAGCTTTTGCGACTCGACCATTCCCCAAAGTTGGTGGGGCATCTAGTCGGGCTCCACATTCATGATGTCGTCGCCGCATGCAATGGTCACGGTCGATACGCCGTCGTTTCACAAAGGATGAAATTGTTCATGTACTATTCATTGTCAGCTCAATGTCAGCTTTGCATTGGCCGGTGTAATGGCCATATTCCAGGCATTTAAAGCACTGGATTATACGCAGCTGGAGTACAAACTCCTTGACCTTCAAACGCAGGTAACTTACCTCGAGGGATCCGAATCTAACAAGCGCACGGGCGGTGTCCGTGTCGAGAGCTTTCACTAGGATGAGGAGCGTGGGTTTTGGTTTTCCTCATGCCCGTGAGGCCTCCTTCATAAAGGGAAATTCCTTGCTCTGTCGCAAGGACATCGCGGATGATCTGTAAGTCCTCATTAAGGCCAATTCCTTTTACTACGAATTTAATGCGAGGAAGCCTGGCTTTCGCAGGGAATGCCTCGTCGCCGATTCCAGACTTGCTCCACCTGTTGCAAATCCGCGGGATGTTTGAGTCCTTTTCGTTGCTTAGCACGAACCCAGCAGCTCGAGTGGCTCGGATATCGAGCAGGCGGACGGTCGGAATTTCTTTTGAGAACGCGTGGGCAAAGGCGATCCTATGCTGATTTTTTCGATGCAAAGCTTGAATGAGGAAAGGGTTCTGGTAGAAGTTCGATTTTACAGGTTTGGGGCGCGAAGAATTGAAAGCAAGATGAAAATTAGAGGATGATGCCGTTCCAGGGAGTCACAGCGAGCTTACGAAGGATTTAGAGGGAGGCGTTGTAGAATACGCGGGGAAAAATAGGGAGCGCCGTTGGAAAGGCCTGATGAATTTGATTTTCCTTTATTTTAGGAGCTGAGGTGGAAGATGGGGAGCATATATGTGAAGAAGAGCAAGAGTCTCTTGCTTGTGGAGAGGGTGAAGGTGGCGAAAGGGAAGACTGTCGCCTAGAGCGAGGGGAGGAATTAGAGACGGGCGAGGAAGGGTCTTTTTTCCTCATCTTTCTCTTCACAGGCATGGCTAATACCTGAGGAGAGTGAGTATGGAAAAAGTGCTTGAAAATGGTAATGGAAAGATGATGTGAATGAGTCAGAGTCAGAAAAGAAACAGGGTTGGGAGTCTGATGGTAGAACTGTTTAAATAAAAAGAAAGTACTTTCAAAAGTTATGAAAAGGCCTGGTGTAACATGCAAATGAGGAGGAGGATGACGCCTTAATAAATGTGATTTGTGGGCTGTCGGAACAAGGGGCCCCGGCAGCTGGGGTGAGGGGTAGGCCTGACTGAAAAAAAGCACGGAAAGGCAAGCTAGTGCCTGGGTGTGGACTCTAGCTGAAGGTAACTAAAACACGCGAGCCAAGGGCTGGTTATTCTACCAAAACAAAGCAGAAAAGACTGGTCGGGCTTCTGCCGTTTTAGCTGATACGTGTATACATCATTCATTCAGTTTGATTTATTATTTCCTTCGCGTCATTGAAGGCTTCTTGGGAGGAGGTTTTCTCTGATGTAAACGTGGATTGGGTCCGGGGGATTTATTTTCCAAATTTTGGTCTTGTAGTTTGTATGGACTACATTTTATTTTGACTGTCATCAGGATGGCTTCTCAGGTGCATCCACTCACAGTTTGGTTCACATGCCTAATAAAGATCTACATTATTAGGCTATCTTCAGGGTTAGGAAAGCAGAATGCTACTGGAAAATCTCCTCCATAGTCGACCATTATTAGGAGAGTGGTTAACTGAAAGTCATTGGTGCCATGTGTTGATTGGACACAATTGATCTGGAGATGTTATATGATTACCAACATGAATTGGTTCATGTGATTTCCATGTGAAGACTCCTTTTAATTTGGTGTAACGAACAATGTTCCAATCATCGTCCCCTTCCTATTCTGCCCCCACCCATGCTCTTACACTGTCTGCATCATTCTTCTGTAAGACATCTCCCGCATGGTGTTATGCAAACCATAACACCGCAGCAGGTGAGGATGACATTCCGTCACGAACCTTGTTCAAAGCCTCTTCAACCAGACCATCCTGTGCATTCAGAAGTAGATGGTCATGGGCAGAATGCATTCTGTTGAGGTGCGATCATCGCCTCCACAAGGGACACATCTTTTATTGTCGGTGCAATTTGTGTGCGAGTGTCCAAACTTTTGGCATCTATAGCACTGTTGTGGAGTTAGGGGGGGGGGAATATTTTCTTCTGCTAGGCAGTGGTTATAGTATATGTTGACTCCTGTTTGAAGAACTTTGAGAGAGTCGTCTTCTGTGTCTAAGAATACTTTCACAGTTTTCAATTCTCTTCCTGTGGTCTTTTTAATGTATCTTCTTGCAAAAGAATTGTTGATGCTTTGGTGATGTATTTCTTCCATGATCTCAATGTCTGATATCCCCTTTGGGACACCTTTTAACAAATTGATTTGCTTTTTGGTGTTTAAATTTTTGCAATCGTGTTTTGGCTTTATATTTTTGAGAATGGGAGGCTGGCCAGGACTTTTAGGGAGCGAGAATCTTTGGGAACAATAAGTGTTCCTATTTTGTTTCGCTTCAGTTCCTTGTTGTCAAGGTTAGGGTGATTCTCGTGCAGAAATTTCACTAAGTTGGTATTGGTGTAGAATCTGTTTTTTTTTTACCAATAGTTGTGGCATGGGAGGGGATGATGGATTCAGGGGGTTTGGTGTTTATTTTTTATTTAGGGCTAGGTGAAGTCGGTATGCTAGTGGTATTTGGCGCTTTCTTAGAGCTCGTCATGTTTGGATAGGGAAGGGTAGGGAAGAAGGAAACGGAACATTTCCTGAAGGGTTGCCGGAAGAAAGACACTTCCAGGGAGTAGCCCCGGCAAAGTAAATGTTCCGAATTTTCTTGTCAGGAGGGGATGAGGTTGTAAGCTAGACAAGCTTACTTCCTCTTTCCTTGAAAGAGATTTTTTTATAATAAAATCAGCTAAATGTATGGCGAGCACTACTGCCATGTGATGGACCAGCACATGACTCCCGCCCACCATGGTAAGATCCTCCCAACACCAGGGCTGGCAGAGTGCAATACCCTGGTGAAGCTGTTGTCAACGCCATGGGAAGGTGACCCACGACTCAGGCACGACGAGTGTGCAGGCACGCTCGCTTCCACGCCTGGATCTTTCCCGTTTTTATTTTTAAGCGGTTAATTCAATTTTACTTTTATGACAGGGAGCAGCCCTTAATGAGAAGCAAGAAGAAGAAGAATATGTCAATTAATTGGTTAATTGTTTGGGGCTGATTACAATTTATGTCCTCATGTAACTGAAGTTGAATTTACGTCCTAGCAGATTACGATTTTCTATTCGTATCTACGTTGTAATTTAGTTAATTCTGAATTTCCATGCTGTCGGAAGTTGTTGTTTAGAGGATAGATGCCCCATAGAAAGAGTAGGTGTCTCCAGGTGCCAGCTGGCCGGAAGGGCCTTATCAGGCGCCCTGGTGAGAATAACTGAGGCAGAGGGTTATATGAGACATTGGAGTCGTACGAGAGGAGATTGAGGATTGAGATCTTGGATTGGCAGCTAATGTGAGAGTTGAGAAAGTCCAGATTTTATTCTTTTTTTTTTCTTCATGCTCGGAACGAATAACAGAAAAAGAGAGAGGAGGGACTGAGGGAAGGAAGTGAGAAATAGCTTTGAGTTCATGATTGTGTGTTCAGGATATTCCTCCGGGACAGAAAAAAAGTACTGTATCAAAGAAATAGGAGGGGGAAAAAAAGCGAGGCGAAAATTGAGATTAAAAAAAGAAATAGGTTTTCACCCTTACCGATTCAGGTAATGCAAAAAAAAAGCTCTGTCCGCACAAAACCGATAAGAGCGGAATGGCTCAGTGGTCAGGAGAAGGTTAGTGCTTTTTCCTAAACGTTGCAAGATTTTATTATAAGGATAGGTTTTACAGTGCTTGAAGCGCCCTATAGTAAATTTTTTATTTTAACTTTCAGGAATTTCCATGTAATTGCCGGGCATTTTAAGGTCATTATAATACCATGCTTCCGAACTAACATTCAGTGAGAGAGGGGTGAGTCCTCTGATTTATATAAATATAGGAATAATGAAAGAAAGTTGGGAGGCGTATTTGATTGTAGCTCGTTCGATGACTTCGAGCTTTTCGAGAAGTTTCTAGAATGCTTTTAAGAGGATTTCTTTGACATGATTATTCTTATCAAAGTTTACTCCAAGGAATCTGGTGAAGCGCGAGCGCGGGATGAGCACATCGTCCATGTGGACGTTTACTGTACGGGCTTTTCTGTCGCGGGCGAACAAGATGAGGGAGGATTTGGAAGTATTCATGCTAATGCGCCAGTTGCGACAGTATTTTGACAAAGCGTTAAGCGCCGCTTGGGCCCGCGACTCTAGGGCAGTAACCTCTCTGCCAGAGAGCCAGAGGGCGGTGTCGTCCGCGTATTTGCTCGTACAAATATTAAGCTATGTGGGTTAGAACTGGAAAGATCGTTAAGGTAGAGAATGAAAAGAAGGGGTACAATTACGGACCCCTGAGGAACTACCGCGGTGGGGGAGCGGATCTCGGAAAAGGAGTTCCCGACCCTTATGCTGAAAGATCTGTCAGATAGGAGACTGTCCATCTTAGAAGCTGCAGGGGGATTTTAAAATGAGAGACAAGTCTATAGGTTAGCCCTGCATGCCAAACCTTGCCAATGGCTTTAGTGACATCGAAGAAGAGAGATGAAGGCGCTTTTTTACCATGGACAGCCACCAGGGCGTCATGATGGAGACGAACGAGCTGATCAGTAGTGCAGAGGTTCCTTTGAAAGCCTGTCTGTGAAGGAGAGAGCATGTTTTTCACATGCGTCTAGCGACAGACCGTCGCCGACCAATCAGAATGGAGCTTCTAGCTACCCTGTCGCCAGCCAATCAGAACGCAGCTTCTGTCCTACGTCACAATCCACGAAGCTAATATTATTTTCCCATTCTTTTTACTTTTTACCCTTTCTCTTACGCCCAAGCGTCATGGATAGATCTAAACAATTTGTGACAAATTTATAGCCAGAACTTCCTGGTATAGGCATACGCGAAATGTTCATGGTGTGGAACCTGAAACAAAACAAGCTTCCATCAGCTGTTCACGTGAGTCGATTACAACCTTGGCTGAGTCTTTTAAATTGACTGAATTCTGTGAAGGATCCGAAACCCGATGAAACGTCAAACTACTTTTTTCTTTTTCTATTCCCACCTGAAAAATATTTAAAATTTTCCCTTTACTGAACTGAATATTACTCTTATTCAAATACCAGAAGTCTAAAAGTGTGAACTGTCCATTTAATACAAAAAACATGAGAATAAAGCTTTCTTAGTAGGTAAGAAAAGGAGAACCTTTAAAAAAAAAAGGGCCATGGGCCCTTTCATCATTTCATGGGCCAAAATTTGAATTTGCCAAAACTGAGCTCATGTTTTTCCTTGTTTATGGAATAGAACGTCACACATTTAATAAAGACAGTAATATGAACAAAAACGCTTTTCCATGCTATATGCCCATATACAGTACATAAAGTTGCTATAGATGTTTTAAAAAAAAAGTCCCCTCCTGCTGAATTTGAGGTAAAGGAACAAAACATGACAAACCATTAGGGTATGAATAATTTCATTTCAAGAATTCAAACATCGAGAGACACAGTACACAAGAAAAATCACTGAAAAGTGTTCTTAATTCTAGTTCATGCATAACAGGGCATTGAAAGCCCACCATCCATTAAATCACTTTCATATTCTCCTCAAATAATTTTCAGTCATACTATTGGAAAGGGTGCTTCTTTTGGCTGGAGATTTAATACACTAGTAATTAACTCAAGTTATTGTTTGTTTGGAATAATTATTAGCCTGTTTCTATTTTATAAATCTGTTAGAAAGAAGCTAAACTGCACCTGAAATTTTAACTAATATGAATGACATGAAATATTAATCAATATAATCTATAAAATATAATCAATAATCACAGCTGGGCTGGTACTAAGTGGATAGGACTGTTCTAGCTTGAATCCTGTCTTTTTGCTTTGCAGAT